TGTGGAGAGAGGTTCTCTACGACGTCCCAATTGGACTTGCTGGGTGTCCCAGATGCACTGGGCAGGAGATGGACCAATGTGTTGGGGAATGGGAAGATTGTGGGACGCTGCACTTCCAGTCTGTTTTGAATCACATCATTCCTGCAACCTAATTTCCACACTTTTCGAGGTGATAGGAATGACGTGTACCAATCAGAACATCCCTGTGTATGTGTGTTTGTATATATATGTAGTGTTTTCCTGGTTTTCTGGCTTTGACCTTGGTTAGTTATTGACCTTTATTGTTCTGTATTCCTGACCTTAGATAGTTTTGTAACGGACCGTTTTGCACAAAAGGGGAAAAAACCGCTTAGACGATAATCCCCCTTTCAGAGTCAGGCACAGCTACTGTATAATCACCAAAACTCACAAACCGCCAATAAGTGAATGCTCCAAACTCCCGAACGGCATACAAGGGAATAAGGTAGCACTTCAAATAAACGAACAGGAACCATACGAATAGCTGCTAGCAGACGAACAGGAAAAGCTTCCCAGCGGCTTACACTCCTGGCAATCAGTCCTTAGCAGCATACAGTAAATCCCCCCAAAGACGAGACAAGGCTCCGTGTTGAGGGTCAAGCAGTGGTCTGTTTAATGAGGGCTACCTGCCCAGCTTTTATGCAGGTCTCCCACCTGGTGGACACTCCCCTAGGGGACCAAATGGGAGACTGTGACAAGGGACAGACAAGTATACAAATAGGACACACAGTCACAGTATATTCCCACAATGCATCCTGGCTTCCTCCCCTCTGCCCTGGGAGATAATTGGGAAGTAACTCAATTATCTCCCAAGACAAAGGCAAAACTCCATTACACACGTGGGAACACAAAAACAGCATTATACTTTAAAATACATAAAGTAACATTTACTACATTAAACACAGGCATGTAACACATCCCCAGATAGCTCAGGTCTGAGTGCACATTATTAGGTGAATGGCACTCAGACTACACGAATACAGTTCAATCGCCATGGAGCCAAAGTCTTTACAGTCAGTTTCATACGAATGGGCTCCATGGGATTCCTATCTGGGGTATAAGACATTCACACAAAAATACCGAACACCGGGTCATTCGTGTGCTTTCACCGAACAAGAAGGGAGGTCGGCGGCTTCAGCGGTGTTCGCGCAAAACTGTGTCCGATTTTAGTTCCATGAAAATAGAGGCGAACACCGCTGTTCATTCGTATGGTTTAAAATGGCCGCGACCTCGTGTTCGGGATACGAACGGCGGCCACCCAGCGTTCATCAATTAAGCTGCGGTTAACCGCAGCTTCAGGGAGGTTAATTGCCGGCACACTCCAGCTCCCAGGTGGTCCAGTCATTCGTACGGTTGTTCGGTAGATTGAAACTACCGAACAACCGGCAGAAAAGCATGAATATGGCTTTTCTGCATGGAAAAATAAAGTCTTTTAAAAGGGGCCATAGTCCAAAGGCAGCAGGCGAGCAACCAGGCTTCTCCAATGCAATGTGGCGAGATTGGTCTCGTCACATCTCTCCCCTTTTCCAAACAGACTAACAGGGTATCTGACCTCCTGCCGGTCAGTGCCCTTGTTAGTCCAGCAGCCCACCCACAACAAATAATCAACAGCACAGCCCACCCACAATAAATGGTTACTACACCTGGGTAAAGGGGAAGCTTGTCCATGTCCAGGTGCCTCACCACGGCTGTGCTGGGTACGGGTACGCTGACTTGGTGGGTTGCTGCGTGGGCAGAGACCAGCGGCACTCTGCCCTGTTGCCAGCGCTACTGGGAGGGTAGCCTGGTGGAAGCCTGGTTGTTGGAGGGGGAGACCGACTGTCTCCCCTTTAAATACACCGCTCTGCTGCTGCTGCTGGAGACTGACTGTCTCCCCTTTAGATGCACAGTCCTGCTGCTGGAGACCGACCGTCTCCCCTTTAGATGCACAGTCCTGCTGCTGGAGACCGACCGTCTCCCCTTTGGTTACCCATCTCTGCTGCTGGAGGGGGAGACCGACTGTCTCCCCTTTGGCTAAACAGCCCTGTCGCTGGGGGGCAGGACCGACCGTCCCTACCCCCTGTGCTGGCAGTGTAGAGACTACGGTCCCATCTGCACGGTTGTGGGGCTTACTGTCTCCCCTTTGTACATTAAGCTGCCGCTGGGGAGAGGGGGTAACAAGCTCCTCTCCCATACATACTTCCAGCTGTGGGGGAGGGAGACCGACTGTCTCTGCTCCCAATACAGAGTCCTGCTGCTGGGGAAAGGAGACTGGGCTCTCTATTCCCGGTAGGACACTCTGCCGCTGGGGAATGGAGACTGGGCTCCCAATTCCCAAAGCATCATACTGCCGCTGGGGAATGGAGACTGGGCTCCCAATTCCCAAAGCATCATTCTGCCGCTGGGGAATGGAGACTGGGCTCCCAATTCCCAAAAAATCACGCTGCCGCTGGGGAGGGAGGACACTGCTCTCCTCTCCCTGGACTTCCCACTGCCTTCCCGGCATATCACTTGGCTGCTGGGGGGCAGGAACAACTACCTCTGCCCCCTGTATCTCAGCCTGCCGCTGGGGAGGGAGGACGCTGTTCTCCTCTCCCTGCACTTTACACTGCCTTCCCGGCATATCACTCTGCTGCTGGGGGGCAGGAACAACTACCTCTGCCCCCTGTAACTCAGCCTGCCGCTGGGGAATGGAGCTCAGGCTCCCAATTCCCTGCAATATCTCCCGCTGGGGAATGGAGCTCGGGCTCCCAATTCCCTGCAATTTCTCCCGCTGGGGAATGGAGCTCGGGCTCCCAATTCCCTGCAATTCATTCTGCTGCTGGGGGACAGGAGCGACTATCTCTGTCCCCTGTAACTCAGCCTGCCGCTGGGGAATGGAGCTCAGGCTCCCAATTCCCTGCAATATCTCCCGCTGGGGAATGGAGACTGGGCTCCCAATTCCCAATAAATCACACGGCCGCTGGGGAATGGAGACTGGGCTCCCAATTCCCTGCAGGACCGGTGGAGAGACCTCGGTCCCATCTCTACCGGCCACCTGGGGTTCTTCCCAGAAAATATCCACAATGTCTTCCCAGCTGAATGGGTCTGGTTCTGGCTCTGTCACCTTGCTGTCCTGCTGAATCTTCTCAATGGAGTGGAAGAGATCTCGGTAGTCCTGCTCCAGTTCCCACTCCAGGGTTGCTAGGTGAGCCAGGTCTTGCTCAATGTCGTGAGTGTCGCCCCAGTCATACCTGCTCTCCCTCCACTCCAAGAGATCACTGAACCGGGCTTGTGTAGGGCTCCCAAATTCAGGCTCTGAAAAAGCCTCCCATAACAAGCCAGGACCATCAAACTCCTCTCCCTCTGGCTTGTCATGCTCGGCTGTCCAGGGCAGGTACTGTGCCCCATACCACCAAAGCGCCTGGTATGCATCTTCCAGCCAAATCTCCTGCCATACCCGGTGCTCCAATTCCTTCACCCATTCATCTAGGGGCTGCTCTCCCAGGAAGGGCATCCGCAGGGCCACTTGCTTCTGCAACCGCTGCTCTTCACTGGGGAGACTCTCACCCCGCTGGTACTGTACATTATCCAGGGCCTGGTACCAGATGCCTTTCCTTAATGCATCCCGGCCATCCAGGTCCTCCTCCTCATATGACACTGCTGGTTCCATGCTGTTGCTGTCAGGGTCGCTGTACTCAGACATGCGTTGCCCTCAAATTGTAAATCCAAGGAATGGTGTCGCCTGTAGCTGTCCTGTAGTCTGTGGGAACGATCCCGCCGCTTGCCACCAATTGTAACGGACCGTTTTGCACAAAAGGGGAAAAAACCGCTTAGACGATAATCCCCCTTTCAGAGTCAGGCACAGCTACTGTATAATCACCAAAACTCACAAACCGCCAATAAGTGAATGCTCCAAACTCCCGAACGGCATACAAGGGAATAAGGTAGCACTTCAAATAAACAAACAGGAACCATACGAATAGCTGCTAGCAGACGAACAGGAAAAGCTCCCAAGCGGCTTACACTCCTGGCAATCAGTCCTTAGCAGCATACAGTAAATCCCCCCAAAGACGAGACAAGGCTCCGTGTTGAGGGTCAAGCAGTGGTCTGTTTAATGAGGGCTACCTGCCCAGCTTTTATGCAGGTCTCCCACCTGGTGGACACTCCCCTAGGGGACCAAATGGGAGACTGTGACAAGGGACAGACAAGTATACAAAAAGGACACACAGTCACAGTATATTCCCACAATGCATCCTGGCTTCCTCCCCTCTGCCCTGGGAGATAATTGGGAAGTAACTCAATTATCTCCCAAGACAAAGGCAAAACTCCATTACACACGTGGGAACACAAAAACAGCATTATACTTTAAAATACATAAAGTAACATTTACTACATTAAACACAGGCATGTAACACATCCCCAGATAGCTCAGGTCTGAGTGCACATTATTAGGTGAATGGCACTCAGACTACACGAATACAGTTCAATCGCCATGGAGCCAAAGTCTTTACAGTCAGTTTCATACGAATGGGCTCCATGGGATTCCTATCTGGGGTATAAAGACATTCACACAAAAATACCGAACACCGGGTCATTCGTGTGCTTTCACCGAACAAGAAGGGAGGTCGGCGGCTTCAGCGGTGTTCGCGCAAAACTGTGTCCGATTTTAGTTCCATGAAAATAGAGGCGAACACCGCTGTTCATTCGTATGGTTTAAAATGGCCGCGACCTCGTGTTCGGGATACGAACGGCGGCCACCCAGCGTTCATCAATTAAGCTGCGGTTAACCGCAGCTTCAGGGAGGTTAATTGCCGGCACACTCCAGCTCCCAGGTGGTCCAGTCATTCGTACGGTTGTTCGGTAGATTGAAACTACCGAACAACCGGCAGAAAAGCATGAATATGGCTTTTCTGCATGGAAAAATAAAGTCTTTTAAAAGGGGGCCATAGTCCAAAGGCAGCAGGCGAGCAACCAGGCTTCTCCAATGCAATGTGGCGAGATTGGTCTCGTCACAAGTTTGTTCATATTTCCTTACCTCTGTAATCCTGACCTTGGTCTATTCCTGGTAGTGCACCTTCTACTCCTGACTCATTGATATCTGGCACCTTACTGATTCCATTTCCCAACCTCTGTGCAGTGGTATCATCTGTAGAATTACAAACAGAAACATGGATTTACAAAAAAAATAAAAAAGTGGAAATGGTGCATGAGTTCACGCTTAATGAAAATGTGTCGGTAGTCAAAACAGATGTAATAGTGTACAAAATATTTGGTGTAACCCGAACTCCAAACCTTTGTTATAGATATGAGCACGGTCCTCACAAGTATTAATATTAGGATTTTTTTATTCAAATGATCATCTGCTAATACTATCCACTAAAATCTGAATTATAGGAGTCCTATAATATATAGATATTCTCAATCAATTACAATATAAGTAATACGATATATGATTTACAATATACAATATACAATTTTTTACAATCAAATTTTCACTTCATCACAAGACCATAGTAACCCTAACAACATGAAAGCTTAAAAATAATAAAAAATATTTTTAAGCTTTGAGTATACAAATACAAATCATAGTGAAATATCAAAGTGATAAAATAACATATACTATGAGTATTAAACTGTGTATTGTTTGGCTCTAATCACAAATACTTCAGTGCCTTTAACCCCTTAAGGACCAAACATCTGGAATAAAAGGGAATCATGACATGTCACACCACCTCTTTGCTCATTTCTTTAACTTTTTTTCTCCATGACAAACAAAAATAACATTTGTGTAGTAGATTTTAGGAATAAACAGCCTCTCAATTTTAAGCTTATTAGCTCACCTTAAATGAAGCTTGTGTTAACCCGGCTCCAGGCACAGCCAGCTTAACATCAATTAGGGTGACACCTCCCTTCTTTAATAAGTATTGCTCTCCCAGGAATATGGAGATGGATTTTCACACGTCAGATCAAGTGCAAAATATATACTTCATTAAAATTTGCATACAGCAACAATATGTTAAAACGACCTGTCCACATACTTTGTCCTGAGACGCGTTTCACCTTATGGGGATTCCCCTCATTTTAGTGTCATGTTGTTCTGATTATTGTTATTATATAATTTTTATTATTTTTAAGCTTTCATGTTGTTAGGGTTAATATGGTCTTGTGATGAAGTGAAAATTTGATTGTAAAAAATTGTATATTGTAAATCATATATCGTATTACTTATATTGTAATTGATTGAGAATATCTATATATTATAGGACTCCTATAATTCAGATTTTAGTGGATAGTATTAGCAGATGATCATTTGAATAAAAAATCCTAATTTTAATACTTGTGAGGACCGTGCTCATATCTATAACAAAGGTTTAATAACATGCAGAAATATTAGCCACAATCTTCTTATTAATAAGGGATGCTTTGGACTGAAGGGTTGCCCAAATTTTCCAAAGCAATTTAAACCGTATATATCAGGAATTTCAACATTATATATTATGCCACTTATATTATTTAATATTTTAATGATTCACTTTAAATAAAGCTTTTCAAAAGGCAATATTTTACTTGTGCTAACTTGTCCTTATTAATTATCAAATAAACAATAAATTTTTAAAATATATCTAATAAACTAGTTACAAATCTTTAGCAATAGATTAGCTTTTTTTATTGCTATTTTCACAAATGAATTATTTCCAATTCCTAATAGTAGTGTGCAAATTAAAAACACACAAGTGAATTAGAACCAATTCCTTATAGTAGTGCAAATTAAAGATGTTTTTAAGAAGTTGTTACAGCACCTAGCAGCTGAGTTTCTTTGAAACATGAATTCATTTGTAATATGTCTTAAACAAAAAAGTGTGTCCCTTTTTTCTATGTTCATTTTTGGCATTGTTCACAATCCAACCTTCAAGTTTTTTTAAAACTTTTCTTCTTCTCCATGTGCCATAACCAGAATATATCAGCCTTATGCCAAACCAAAGCAAGTCAACCTTCAATTTTACCCAACCATTTGAAGAGTTGTATAAGCAGCTACAATAATGTAAGTTGGCTGTCAGTGCTCAGAAGCAATTAGTAGCACTTAGTTTGTAAGAGACTTTGTTAAATATTCTTCAGTTTGGGAAACTTTTCCAGGTAAATGTCTTGAGACAGATAGGCAAATAAATATTGTATTAGGTGTTTCTTCCTTTTGAAGAGGTTTAAAGTTTTATGCACAACATACACTGTAGTTCTCTCATCTGCTTGGAGTTCATGTAGTACAAACAGGCATAACTGAATAGTTACATAATAAGTAAGACCTGCCTCCATCCAAGGGTTTTACTACCATCCTTATGGTTGCCAACAGGTTTTCCAAAATGGTGCACTTTATTCCGCTCCTCAAGTTGCCATCTGCTGCCAAGCTTGCCAATGTGTTTGCCAAGGAAGTGGGTAGGCTCTGCTGGTTGCCCTATGAGGTTGTCTCCAACAGGGGGAACCAGTTTATCTCTCAGTTTGGAGGATCTTTTGTGATGAGATGGGCATCAGGCTCTCGTTTTCCTCTGTCTATCATCTCCACACCAATGGTGCTACCAATAGGTCTAACCAGTCTCTGGAGCAGTACCTCCATTGTTTTGTCTCAGAAAACCAAAACAAATGTTCCAACTTTCTACTTTGAGCCGAGAATGCCAGGAGTAATGCTAATCACGCAGTCCTTTTTTGGTGAATCAGGTCTTTCACCCTACAGTTCTTTCTGCTGGATGATCTGTGTCTGGAATCCCTGCTTTGGACATGCACCTGGTTGGACTCTGTTACCTTTGGACCAAAGTTAAGGACAACCTGGGCTGTTCAGTACTGCTCCAAAATAGATATGCTTACTATAGGCACAGGGCAGCAGTTTTGTGACAGGTTGAAGACAGTCTGGTTGTACACTGGAACATTAACTGTGTTGCCACTCCCAAACTGGCATCCAGATATGCTGGCCTGCACTGCATCATCAGGTGGGTCAAACTAGTGGACTATACCTTAGCTCTGCCTAGGAACCTCAGCATTCCCAAAACTTTCATTTCTCACCTGTTAAAGCCTTGGTTTGCAATAAGTTCAATACCAATCCAATTGAGCACATCTGGGACATCATGTCTCGCTGCATCCACCAACGTCACGTTGCACCACAGACTGTCCAGGAGTTGGCAGATGCTTTAGTCCAGGTCTGGGAGGAGATCCCTCAGGAGACCATCCACCACCTCATCAGGAGCATGCACAGGCCTTGTAGTGAGGTCATACAGGCACGTGGAGGCCACACACATTACTGAGCCTCATTTTGACTTGTTTTAAGGACATTACATCAAAGTTGGATCAGCCTATAGTGTGTTTTTCCACTTTAATTTTTAATGTGTGACTTCAAATCCAGACCTCCATGGGTTGAAAAATTTGATTTCCATTTTTAAATTTTTGTGTGATTTGTTGTCAGCACATTCAACTATGTAAAGAACAAAGTATTTCAGAAGAATATTTAATTCATTCAAATCTAGGATGTGTTATTTTTGTGTTCCCTTTATTTTTTTGAACAGTGTACACTGGAATAGGTATGGACCAGAGGAGAGATCTTGGACTCCTGAACAGGATGTCCATGCCCCCTTCTTAGTCAAAAGATTTCACAATAGCTTTCCTGACAAGACCCAATGGGTGTTCCTTTAGGTGGGGGTAGTGTCAGGAAACACTCCTCTGGCTTGATCTAGTGACATCTGAACTCTTGTTTCATCACTTTCTACCCCTGCTTTTCTTTAGCCAGCCCTGACAACAAGGCATAGGAGTAAGGGGGTTAGACACTTGTGGTTAAGAAACCTAGAAAGGGTAAAATACACAGGAGGATAAGGGATACAAAAGGGAAGGAGTATGAGACACAGGAGGTAAGAGACACAAAAAGGGGGTTATGAAACACAACAGGAGGTTTATAAGACAGGAGGGGGACAAAATTGGTGATATGACACACTAAAGGTGGTTAGGAAATTCAAAAGGGTAGATAAGAGACACAAGAGTCAGTAGGAGAACACAAAAGGGGCATAAAGATGCAATAGTAGGAATAAAAATGACAAAGGGAATACAATATACAAAAGGGGAAAAGAGACACATGAAGGGGGTAAAGTACACAAAACAGGCTACACACGAGTCACACAGGGCTACACAGGTGAAGAAGCATATTAGGGGGTGGCAAAATGCAACTTCATCTGTGTAACTATAAATCCTTGCAAAGACCTTTTGACAGGTCTATCCATAGAGGAGTTGTTCATCTGTGAAAGCTAAGTTATCCAGTATTGATGCGAGTTGGTGCATGCATAGATCTGAATCAGCAGGAAGCACGACTAATTCTGTGTTCACAAATATTTGTCGCCTGAGTCAAAATTGTGCATTGTATTGCAACTATCTTGTGAAAATAAGTACTACATACCTAGATTTGAAGTTGAATGAGCATACTCATTACTAACATCTTCTGATTCATAGATATCTGGCTGCTTGCTGATTTTGTTTCCCAACCTCTGTGCAGGGGTTGTCTCTGTAGATTTAAAAAACAGATAATATAGATTTCCTTTTTTACAGTAAGTATCAACGGATATATATATTTTATAGATGGGCCTTGGCAACTGCTTGCTGTGAAAAGAAGCATTTTTAATCCCTCAACGTAGGAATGTTCTGTGTTTAGCAACCTTTCTCATCTTATGAAGGATATAATGTTCTCAACTTCCTCATATCTGATTTTATTTCCTCTCTGTCAAAAAACCTTGAGAGCGAGTGTACTCAAACTACCCAAATGTGTTTAATTACCTCTCCTCTACATATCTGTCATTAATTGGTTGGTGTATGCGTGTATGTACATATATATACAGCGTCAATAACTAGCCAGGGTCTATATATATTTATATTTTTTCTGATTTTGACCGTTGCTAGTTATTGATTCTGTATTGTTCTCTGTTCCTGACCTTAGCTAGTTTATTCATATTTCCATACCTCTGTAATCCTGACCTTCTCCCATTCCTGGTAATATATCTTTTACTCCTGACTCATCGAAATCTGGCTCCTTACTGATTCTATTTCCCAACCTCTGTGCCGTAGTTTCATCTGTGAAAGTACAAAACAAAAACATGAATTTACAAAAAAGGGGAAAAAAGGGGGAAATGGTGCATGTGTGTTTGGGTGCTTAATGAAAATTTGTCAGCAGTCAAAACAAATTTAATAGTGTACAAATATGTGGTGTAACCCTAACTCCAAATAAATATTTGAGTGAAGAGCTCAAAATGTTGCAAAAAACAAACCCCTGTTTCACTTGGGGTTTCGTGTCCTCATATAAAACACAATAAACAAAATAGAAATGATAGTGAAATATTGAAGTGATAAAGCAAAATATACTGTGAGTACTGTACTGTGCACAGTGTGGCTCTAATCACAAATGCGTCTGTGCCTTTAAGGCGGCACACTACCTCTTTCTTCATTTCTTTAAGTTTTTCCTGCAAGAGTACACAGATTTAAAAAAAAAAAAACACTTGTGTGGTAGATTTTAAGAATAAACAGCCTCTCAATGTTAAGCTTAATAGCTCACGTTGGATAAAGCCTGTTAACCCAGCTTAGGTACAGCAAACCTAGTGTCAGTTAGGGCAACACTTCTCTTCTTTAATAAGTATTACTCTACCAGGAATATGCAGATTGATTTCCATGGCCAGATCAAGTGCAAAATATATACTTCCATAAAACTTGCAAACAGCAACAAAATGTTAAAACGATCTGTCCGCATACTCCGTCCTGAAACGCGTTTCACCCTGTGGGACTCTTTCGGTCTGTGCTTTTCATTTTCAGGTAGCAATCATTTCATTGTCTGGAGTCTCCTCTTTTTAATGTCACATGATTATGATTTTTGTCATTATATAATTTTTAAGCTTTCATCTTTTTTAGGTGTAATATGTTTTTTTAATGAAGTGAGAATTGATAGTATTATCTTAAATTATGTATATTGTTACTTATATTGTAATGTAATGAGAAGATCTATATATTATAGGACTCTTATAATTGGAGGTCTGGTTGGTAATATTAGCAGATGAGCATTTAAATTAAGTCTCCTCATTTCCATGCTTGCCATAGGAGTCACAAATCTTCATCAATAGATTAGCTTTTTTTTATTGCTATTTTCACAAGTGAATTAGAACCAATTCTAATAGTAGTGCAAATTCAAGATGTGTTTGTAAGGAGAAGGTTTTATAGTACATTTGAAATGTGTATACATGTGTAATATGTTTTGGTATATAAACTGTGTGTCACATTTCACTATTTTCATTTTTGGCATTGTTCACAACCTAACCTAATTTTTTAAACTTTTCATATGCCATAAGCAGAGTATATTAGTCTAATGAAAGTATTAAGAAAATTGGGCAGACTAGATGGGCCGAATGGTTCGTATCTGCCGTCACATTCTATGTTTCTATGTTTCTATGTTATGCCAAACCAGAGCACGTTACCCTACAAATAACCCAACCATTTGTGATTTGTATAAGCAGTTACAAGAATAAAGGTTGGCTGTTGGTGCTCAGAAGAAATTAGTAGCACTTACTTTGTAAGAGACTTTGAAAAATATTCTTCAGTTTGGGATACTTTTCAAGGTAGATGTCTTGAGACAGATAGGCAAAGAAATATGGTATTAGGTTTTTCTTCTTTTCAATGAGGTTCAAAGTTTTATACACAACATTCGTAGTAGTGCTCTCATCTGCTTGAAGTTCCTGTGGGCCAAACACGCATAACCGAATAATTACAGAATTAGTAATTATACAAGATCTTGTAACTACAGTAGGAAAAAAAATAAACTTTTTTGGATGTAGGTATCAACTTGAATTATGTTCTTGTAAATCACAGATTACACATTTATAGGTGTCACAGAGGGACAACAGAGATTCATCACACACATAAACCTGGTGTGCTTGTGGGTATTCATAGCTAAATGGGTATTGCATGTAAATCAATCACTGTGTGGGACACCTATCCTTCATAACAACTAAATATTACAATATTTCATTAAAACATTATATTCTTGTTAAAACCTATAAAAAAAAACACTTACGGGTATAAATTCTTTCATAACTTCAACATCATATTCCAACATCAAAATATTTGTCATGAAGAATTCAGACTTTTATGGGGGCAAAGTGGTGTCTTACATAGTATTATAAAGGTGTACATAAAATATACTTAGTGAATATCATCAACTAGTTTTAATAAAAAATTTTTTAAAAAACAGCTTCTAAAAATGCAGAGCAGGTATTAGTACATACTAGTAATTCTAGTTCAGTTAGAATTCCTCTGTCTTGCAGGCCATTCATGAATGGAAAACGTTCTTTTATAATATTGGAAATACTAGTTTTCCCTCGGCTCAAAATTAGTTCCAGTTCTTTAGTATTGGTTGGACATTTATTCACAGGGTCATCTTGTGCCTGGATTTCTGTAATGCAAAGGTGTAAATGAATTAAACAATTGTTATAAGCACGGTGGCATTAAACGCTCTATGGTAAATCTTCTCTCAATCATTTAATCTTAAAGGTGCACTATGCTTATAGGTCAATAAAACAAGGTGTGAAGACTCAGATTAGTCAATTGAAGGAGACGATCTTCAAGAAGAATCATCTGCCATTACCCTGCATTATAAGTAGCTGGATTTACTTGCAGATAGTAACAATTGCAGAAACTCTGAAAAACCTGTCATCTAGAATAGAATGTGTTATTACTGAATAAGTTCAGTGAAGTTGCAACATTTTCTAAGTTGGTACATGATGATTGACTGACTGGAAGTAAACTGAGCTGATCACAATTTTGAGATGAGCAATGATATCATTAAGGCCACAATATGACCATACTCTTTTTCCAGCTATCAGACTAGAAAGGCTTATATTATTTTTCATTGTTGAGACATTAATTTTGGAGCCTCTTTATATAGACACATTGTTTTTATACAATGTAAACAGAGAATTGAGTTAAATACGCTGGGTATCCATGACCCCCTCGTCACTATAGGAAACATTAATATATGCAGATTGGGTGACTTAGAAAAGAGGATATTTCCCAGTAGCCCCGTTTCCTTTCATCAGGACTCATTTACTAAGACTCTGAGAACCCATAGTTAGCGTTAGTCTTATTTTCTTTGTTAATTACAAGAGGCATGGATTGAAGATCTGATTTGTAAGCTCAGTCACTTGTTAATTCATTTGTTTTCTAGGTGAAAACTGCCTGTAAGAGGAGAAAAGGGGTTTTAAAAGAAATTGAAATCTGTATAGTATTATATAAATATAAGATATGTAAAAATAAATGTAATTTTGCTGCCTCAGACTTGTCATAAAAGGGAACGTACAGTATAAACAATTATTATGTTACAAGGATTGGTGTTGTAAAGAACCACCCAGCTCTGTAGTATGTAGCGCTGTGGTAGTAAACAATCTCTTACATACAGCCTTTACTGCGAAGAATGTTTCTTCTGTTGAGTAATATCAGGAATTCACCATTTCCATTTTTGCTAATTTAGGTGAAGAAAAGGGACAACAAGCACTCACCAAAAAACACACATAAACCAAACAAAAGAACGTCAGCCACTACACAGAAAAGGTATCCCTGAAAACAAACTGACAATATAAACAGTGCAATAGAGTTTTTGAGTCAGGCTTTATCATTTGGGTTGTCAACGTATTCTATATTATCTCAACTGTTTTCCTGCATTGCTACAGCTTGTAGCATCAGCTAACTATATGGTGGCAATTGTACCACACAAGCTCAATATTTAGAGCAGTGGATGCATGGAGATAAATGAGTTGTCACTTTTTGTTCTGTTTTACCTGCATTATATGGTCAGCCTTTTAGAAAAAAAATATCTTATTTGATGTACAATGTGATGTCCTGTTAGGTGCATACTTCTGACACCACATTTCTTGCATTCTGCCATATATAAGGTATACCTTGTTTTCTTTTATCTTTTTTTCCATGTAGGACATACTTTACAATATTTGAATATTCATTTATAATTTACATGTAATCTTTGTTGTTACATTGAGAAGACCAAGAAATAATGTCCCCAGGCAGATATCTGGAGCTTATGAGGTTTCATTAGACAAAGATTTCTGAAGTTTGGCAGATATAATTTATTCATCTTCAACACGATCAACATTTTAAAAATCCCTTTCTGCCAATAATGCTGCCCAAAAAATAAACTGTTATGAACTTAAAGCCAGGATCAGAATGCCAATTTCACAATTTAATAACAAACCAAATGGTGATTTGCAGCTTTGCAATTATATCACAGGTTGACAATTCTCAACAATCAACTGTATAATAGACTGGTGTTATGTACATCGTGGTTGGTGCAAATTGCAAACCCTACCTTCACAAACACATTTTAGATGTATGTTCTTGCTTTGCTCGTGCACAAAACTGTTAAAGGGACACTATAGTCACCAGAACAACTACAGCTTATTGCATTTGTTCTGGTGAGTAGAATCATTCCCTTCAGGCTTTTTGCTGTAAACAGTGTCTTTTCAGAGAAAATGCAGTGTTTACTTTACAGGCTAGTGATAACTTCACTGGCCATTCCTTAGATGGCTGTTAGAGATCCTTCCTGGGTCATGGCTGCATCCAAACATTTAGTACCTCCTCCATCTGTATGCAGACATTGAACTTTCCTCATAGAGATTCATTGATTAAATTAATCTCTATGAGGAGATGCTGATTGGCCATGGCTGTGTTTGAATCATGCTGGCTCAGCCCCTGATCTGCCTCCCTGTCAGTCTCAGTCAATCCTATGGAGAAGCACTGTGATTGGATCAGGCTACCACTTCTGATGATGTCAGCAGACTGCTTGTTTTCTGAGACAAACAGCATGCATGAGTTACAGCTTCAGGCTTGAATACAGTAAGATTTTTACTATATTTATGGAGGCATGATGGGCCCGGGGGGGGGTGGGCTAGTTAATGGTTTTAACACTATAGGGTCAGGAAAACATGTTTGTGTTCCTGACCCTATAGTGATCCTTTAAGTTTGATAATTTTTTGAGTATTCATTATTTCTTGAAGAGTGTTTTCACTTGGTTGATCAAGTTATTTTGGCTATTGAATTTAATAAGGGGGAAATTACTTTAATATGTCAGTAATATTTTTATTACTAATAGTAATATTTACCAAAGCACCAACAAATTCTGCAGTGCTGTACAACGGGTGGACTAACAGACATGTATTTGTAACCAGACAAGTTGGAAACACAGGAACAGAGGGATTGAGAGTCCTGCTCAATAAGCTTAAATGCTAGAGGGAGTAGGGTATAGTGACACAAAAGGTAAGGGTATGGTAAAATAAGTGTGTTGCTAGGATAGTATTTACTGAGGGCTTAGTGTTTCGTTTTGATGACAGTTTCAGGAGCGGAATCAGGGTGTGGGGAGAGAAAGCTGTTCACAGTTTAATTGATATGCTCTCCTAAAGAAGTTAGTTTTCAAAGACTTTTTGAAGGAGTGGAGACTGTGTGAAAGTCTAACAGAGAGGGGAAGGGTGTTCCACAGGAATGGTGCAGCCCTAGAGAAGTCTTTAAGGCAACCTTTAGAGGTAGGAATACGAACAGAGGTTAGACATAGGTCTCTTACAAAGTGTAGGAGCCTAGACAGGACATATTTGTGTATTAGTGAGGATAAGTAGGTCGGAGAAGTATTGTGCAGAGATTTGTAAGAAAGTTTTAGGATCTTCAATTGAGTCCTATATCTTACAGGAAGCCAATGTAGGGACTTACAGAGGGGGAGGTGTGGGAGGTGCGGGCAGACAGGAAGATGAGCCTCGCCGCTGCATTCATTATAGACTGTAACGGGGGAAAGTTGGGAACACGTAAGACCAGTGAGAAGCAGATTACAGTAGTCAAAGCGAGAGAGGATAGCGGCATGGACAAGGACCTTAGCCGTTTTAGGCGTTAAATATGGTCGGATGCGCACTATGTTTTTGAGATGGAAGCAGCAGGATTTGATGATTGATTGAAATGAGAGGTGAAGGAGAGGTCGGAGTCAAAGAGATCACCTAGGCAGAGAGCCTGCGAGATAGAGCGGATAGTAGCACCATTGACTTGGAGGGAAACAGACAAGGGAGTAGCAACACTTCAGGGAGGGAAGCAGACATTCTGTTTTGGACAGGTTAAGTTTAAGGAAATGAGCAGCCATCCGGTTGAAAATAGCAGAGAGACAATCAGAGACACGAGTCAAGAGGGGTGGTGAGAAATTTAGGGGAGGACAGATACATTTGCATGTCATCCGCATAGAAATAATACTGGAAGCCGAAGGAGCTGATGAGTTTACCAAGGGAGGCAGTGTAGATTGAGAACAATAGGTGAACACCAACAGAGGACATACCCTTGGTGAACACCAACAGAGAGGGATTGGGGAGAGGAGGCAGAGCCAGAGAAAGAAACACTGAAAGGACGTTGGGAGAGGTAGGAAGAGCACCAGGAGAGATCAGTATCTTGTAGACTACAAAGGATGAGAAGAAGCTGTTGATGATCAACAGTGTCAAAAGCAGCAGGAAGGTTGAGGAGAATTAGGATAGAGTAGTGGCCATGGGATTTTGCAGTGATAAGATCATTGGATACTTTGGTCACAGCTGTTTTAACAGAGTGACAAGCGCGAAATCCAGATTACAGCTGGTCGAGCTGATAGTTGGATTCGAGAAAGTCTGTCAATCTTGCACACACAATTCTCTCAAGGTTCTTGGAGGCAAATGGTGAGATAGTAGTAGTGGTAGTAGTAATGAGATAGGGTAGTAGTTGATGGGGAATTGGGATCAATGTTGGGCTTTTTTAGAATTGGGGTACAGTGCTTTGCAAAAGTTTTCACCCCCCTTGACTTTTTACCTATGAGAAAAATATATACATAAAAATATTTTTTAGAAATAGAAAACAGAAAATTGGCATGTGCGCATGTATTCACCCCCTTTGTTATGAAGGCCAATAAAAAGCTCTGGTGTAACCAATTACCTTCAGAAGTCACATAATTAATGAAATGATGTCCACCTGTGTGCAATCTAAGTGTCACTTGATCTGTCATTACATATACACACCTTTTTTGAAAGGCCCCAGAGGCTGCAACACCTAAGCAAGAGGCACCACTAACCAAACACTGCCATGAAGACCAAGTAACTCTCCAAACAAGTAAGGCACAATGTTGTTGAGAAGTATAAGTCAGGGTTAGGTTATAAAGAAAATATACAAATCTTTGATTATCCCCAGAAGCACCATCACATCTATCATAACAAAATGGAAAGAACATGGCACAACAGCAAACCTGCCAAGAGACAGCCGCACAGCAAATCTCACGGACCGGGCAAGGAGGGCATTAATCAGAGAGGCAGCACAGAGACCTTAGGTAACCCTGGAGGCGCTGCAGAGTTCCACAGCAGAGACTGGAGTATCTGTACATAGGACGACAATAAGCCATACGCTCCATAGAGTTGGGCTTTATTGCAGAGTGGCCAGAAGAAAGCCATTACTTTCAGCATAAAACAAAATGGCACTTTTTGAGTTTGTGAAAAGGATTGTTGGAGACTCCCAAAATGTATGGAGGAAGGTGCTCTGGTCTGATGAGACTAAAATTGAACTTTTCGGCCATCAAAGAAAATGCTATTTCCGTCACAAACCCAACACAGCACCCAAAGAACACCATGGTGGTGGCAGCATCATGCTGTGGGGATGTTTTTCAGCAGCCAGGACTGGGAAACTGGTCAGAGTTGAGGGAAAGATGGATGGTGCTAAATACAGGGATATTCTTGAGCAAAACCTGTACCACTCTGTGCATGATTTGAGGCTAGGATGGAGGTTCACCTTCCAGCAGGACAATGACCCCAAACACACTGCTAAAGCAACACTTGAGTGGTTTAAGGGGAAACATGTAAATGTGTTGGAATGGCCTGGTCAAAACCCAGACCTCAATCCAATAGAAAATCTGTGGTCAGACTTAAAGATTGATGTTCATAAGCGCAAACCATCCAACTTAAAGGAGCTGGAGCAGTTTTGCAAGGAGGAATAGGCAAAAATCCCAGTGGTAAGATGTGGCAAGCTCAGAGACTTATCCAAAGCGACTTGGAGCTGTGATTGCCGCAAAAGGTGGCTCTACAAAGTATTGACTTTAGGGGGGTGAATAGTTATGCGCATTGACTTTTTCTGTTACTTTGTCCTATTTGTTGTTTGCTTCACAATAAAAAAAAAATCTTCAAAGTTGTGGGCATGTTCTATAAATTAAATGATGCAAATCCCAATCCATGTTAATTCCAGGTTGTGAGGAAACAAAAGACGAAAAATACCAAGGAGGGTGAATACTTTTTCAAGACACTGTAACGGTTGCACATTTGAAGGGTAGAGGAAATGTGCCAGAGGAGAGGAGAGATTGAAAATTTTAGTGAGAGGAAGAGCAAGAGGAGACAAAGTGCAGATGAGATATGAGGGAATAGGATCGAGGGAACAGGTGGTCGGGCGGGAGGAATGGAGCAGAGCAGAAACCTTTTCTGCTGTAGCAGGTGCAAATGAGCATAGGACAGCTGAGGGAGTGTGGTTAGGGGAAAGGTTGGTAGGGGATAGAGAGAGAAGAGAGATCTCTTACCAGATTGTAGAGATCTTCTCAGTGAAGTGAGTTGCAAAGTTTGTGGCGGTCAAGTTGGTAGGAGGAGGAAGCACAACAGGGCGAAGAAGAGAGTTAAAAGCATGAAACAGTCATTTGGGCTCGCAGGAGATTGTGGTTATGAGTGAATTGAAGTAGTTTTCTTTTGAAGAGTAAAGAGCCAGACTGTAGGAGTGCAACATAAATTGTCAGATGCAGAGTGTGACTTTTTCCAGCAGAGTTCAGCATTTCTGGAACATTTTTGGAGGTATCGGGTCAGCTTGCTATGCAGGGTTGTAATTGGGGGCGCTTGCTGCATTTAAGTGTAGTAGGTGGCATGATGTCTAGTTGAAAGGAAAGAGTGGAGTTGTAGAGGGAGGTTGCAGTGTTACGGCAAGTGAGGTTAGAGATGGGTGAAGTGCGGTTTGTAAAGGAGGTTGGTAAAGAATCACTGTGGGTCAAGAAAATGGAGGTTTCTGCGAGACTGATATGGTGAGGGTGGTGTAATTTGGTTACGGGGTATGTCAATGTTAATGGACAGCAGATGGTGGTCAGATAGAGGAAATTGGATATTGGAGAGATTAGAGGTGGTACAGAGATTGGTGAAGATGAGGTCAAGAGTGTTACCTGCTGTATGAGTTGCTGAATTAGACCACTGTGTGAGTCCAATGGAGGATGAGAGGCATCAGAGCAGTTGGGGTTGTTGATTGGGATATTAAAGTCCCCAATAATGAGGCAAGAAGTGCTAGAGGAGAGGAAATTGGAAGAAACATGTTCAATGAGTAGCCTATGATGACCGGGGAGATGATAAATGATGACAATTCTTAGAGTGGGTTTAAATAGGCTGACAGTGTGAACTTCAAAGGGAGAAAAAGATAGAGCAGGGGCATGGGCAGGAAAGGTTGGTTGAAATGTACATTGAGGGGAGAGAACGATGCCTACACCACCTCCTTTACAGTTGGTGGGTCTGGAAGTCCAAAGTGATTGAGCTCTCCTAAACGTGAATGTATAATATAAGGTAAAGGGCCCACATTTTGTGAACTAATAATGACACAAATGTTGTTGAAAACATTTGGAATGTGTCATCATCATGAATAGCTCATCTGCAGCTGTTTACATATAGACAATTATAAAAAGGTAGACTGTGATAGAGATCTAAGTTGCTTTGGGGTTCTGAACTCTTAATACTAGTTTTTCCTTAAGATGTCTTAAATCAAATGCAGAAGATTTCTATGCCAGAACTACAAGATGTATACCATCACTGACCCAAAAGCACAAGAAAAAGCAGCCAATATGCTCAAAATCACATAAATAAGCCACATAAATTTTTGATTCTGTTATGTGGAGCGGTAAAAACAAAACTGAAACTTTTTGACCCAATGGATCAGTGGTATGTCTGGAGGAAGAAGAAGGAAGATATGCTGAAAATAACACTCTTCCTACAGTTAAGTATGGTGGTGGCTTGGTGATACTCGGGGGCTGCCCTGTCTCCTCAGGCACTGGAAACCTGCAGCATGTGGAATGATGGATTCATTGAAGTATCAAGAAATCCTAGGAGAAAACATCATGCCATCTGTGAGGAAGCTGAAGCTTGGGCGTCATTGGACCTTCCAACTAGACAATGATCCCAAGCATACCTCAAATTCAACCAAGGCATGGTTGAGAAGAAGTCCTGAATAATTCTACAGTGGCCATCACAGTCACCTGACTTGAACACCACAGAAAATCTCTGGTGGTATTTGAAGAAGGTGGTTGCAGCATGCAAACCCAAGAATATTACTGAACTGGAGGCTATTGTTCATGATTCCTCAGGAACGCTTCCAGAAGCTAGTGTCTGGCTATGCATCTTGTTTGCAGCAGGTCATAACAGCAAAAAGGTGCTCTACTAAGTACTAAAGACGCTTGCCATAAAGGGGTTGAATAATTTTGAGACTGGAGAAGTCATTATAAGTTGTATTTTAAGGTGAATTTGGGGCAATTACTTGAATCATTCATTGTGTTGAGCTATTTCAATTCCTTTTGTTGGATTTGTTCATTGAAAACAGATGAAAGTCTGTAAATTGTAACAATAAACCGGATTTTCAAATATAATTTTGATTACAGTTGTATATTGCACTTTAAAAAAAAAAATAGACATGACAAGGTGGCAGAGCTGGAAGCTGAACAGAAGAACTAAACTCTGTGGTGCCTGGCTCTTAAACATTTATCCATGGCTAGAGGTCCGACAATTCAGTGTTTACTATCTATACCACCCAGGTACACTACCTTTGCTCATCTGCATAATCCATGGTAATGCTTGTCAGGCATTCAGAACCTCGGGATAAAGCTTAGCTGACGGTCTGATTATTTTAAAGCCCTGGATGCCTGAACATGCCATTTAGCACTCAGGTGAAAGTGAGTGTCTCATTTGAGCCCTTATAAATAGTACCTATTCATTAGTCTGTTTTTATTTCCTCGCAAGTTTGTATACAGAACTGAAACATCGACTTTTACTTATGGGCATCACTTTTTGAAGATCAGTAAAGAAAAGATTTCCTTTGGATCTTCCTGGAGTGCTTGTAATTATGGAATTCTATCTACATGTGGGGCAGAGCAGTGGGTAATACTAAGATTTTTTTTCATGTTCAGTAGAAGTGCAGGATTTTTGGTATATATATATAAATCTCATTGCGTTACTGTATTTAGAGATTTTTTTATTTTCTCTTGCATCAGTTATTATAGAACAATTCAGAAAACTAAATTCCAAAAAAAGAGCAACCAGATACATGTTTAGTAATTTAAATCGTTAGTCTATTTCCTTGTGTTAACTCATTAAAGTTTTACACCCCACCTCCTATAGACTGTAAGCTCGTTTGAGCAGGGTCCTCTTCAACCTATTGTTCCTGTTAGTTTTCTTGTGAATGTCCTATTTATAGTTAAACCCCCCCTCTCCTAATATTGTAAAGCGCTATGGAATCTGTTGGCTCTATATAAATGGCAGCAATAACAATAGGCAAAAATGTGAATGATAATATAGTGATACAAAAATGCTGAACCATTTAAAAAATGTTTTGTATGTCTTGCTTTGTAGCATGCTTATCAAGTGTACACTTTAAACCATATTCAATACAAGATTTTCAAATTACTTTCTCAAATTGGTTAATATTCTCATTGAAAGTACTACACCTTAAGACCTTAAGACATTGCAACTTACGTTGTGAGATGTCATTTAGCTTGCGATATAAGTCCAGGAAGCATTTCTGAAAAGTGTAATCAAAAAAGGTTTTAATGTCTATTTTCTTCTCCTCAATCCAGCACAGACTTTCATACACCACACGGTGAATGGACCTCTCATCTGCTTGCAGCATCTATGAAAAAGACAATTGATGTTAATTTACATATATAATTTTTTTGTTTAGTTTTTTCATTTTGTTTACAAAATAAACTTCAGTACTAATATTGCCTATGTGTTACTTTTCTTACTTTGATTTTCTCACACGTCCAACTTCCTAGTTATAGTTTTGACGTGGTAAAAGGCTTTCTGTACCTTATGATCCTTCACTATGGGCTCTGTAAAGTCCCCCTAGAATACAATTTAGTTTCCTCTGCATGCAAACCCCCAAGAAAAAAAATAATAGATGCAGATTCCACAAAAAAAAAAAAAAAACTTTAAAATTACCAAAAAGGAAAAAAAGTGTACTATATTTGGATAACGGTGCTTTACAGACGTCGAGAGATAAGTACATAAAAATACAGATCTCACTTATAAAAATAAGATGGAAATGAAATTCCAGGAGCTACAAGCTACAATTCCAGGAGCTATAATAACCAGCAATTCAGATATAAATACATAAATAAAAAATGATCATAAAGTACGGGACTAAAAAGGCCAAGGGAAATATCCAGTAAATATCAAATCCACGATCATTGAGAGATAGTGATAGTAAAAAGTCCACAATCACTATACTCCGTAGGTCCCCAAATGTCAAGTGAAATAGTACAAAATAAGTCCACAAAAAAATAATAAAATGTAAATGATAAAGTTCAGTCCACAATATGTACCATAGGGATAGAGCTAGGGATACACACTAGTGCTATGTGTATGGATAACACACAGCAGCGTGACCATTATGGCATTACAATATTATTTACTATAAACAGTAAATATAATAATCAAAAAGCAATACTGTACCAAACACACACTAAATACTAAAAACTAGCCTAAAAGTTAATAGAAAAGAAAAGTGCTTCCTTGAAAACTTTAATGAGCTAAAGAATAAAATCAGGATAATCCACAAACAATAGATGCATATAGTAATGCAAAAAATGACTCAAGACAGTCAGCACTGTAACCTGATATGGTAATCCTCCAGATTAAGCATGTTAAACTCAAAGTCTGGATCGGGCCACATAAACAAGGTTTAAGTTTATGTGGGCCGCAAAAAAAAAATAAAAAAAAAATAAAACCTTAAATTTTAATTTGCTCAGTGCAGTGACCATAGGCTTAATGTTTGTATTACAAACATTAATATGCACTAACATTTTGATTTACTAGATAGTGGTGAAACTGGCATAGCTGCTATGTGGAATTACAGGAGGATGTTGGTAAATAGATCTGTGATATTTACCAACACAACTCGCAGGTTAAATTCTAAATGTAAATATTTTCCCAGTGTGGAGCATGCTCTATGCTGGAGGAAAATATAGTGTAACACTGTAAATAATGTTGAAAACAACAAAACAGTGTCTTTGTTTGTATCTATAACAGTAACAAATCTGTGAAATAAAAACATGTTGAGGTCTATTAACCAGAGGAGGCCTGGCGATTAGGACCCCCTCATCCCTCTCCCTTGGGCCTAGGGGTGAATGTTTGAGGTCAGATCATGCAGGGTAAACTAACACCTCGTACGCAAAAAGAAGGACCAGTACTCTGACCTTAAAACATTTATTGGGCAGAGGATAATACGTCCTCTAGCTATAAAACACCTAAAATGACATGGGATGCCCTCTTATCTAGCCCTAAAGGACTAAAATTACTAGAGGACTCCACATTTCCTGGTTCTATAGTCTAGTGGCTATTGATACACAAATACAAGACAGTGGGGGAGGTAAGTTTATGGACAGGTGATTGACAATTGATCCGATGGGTATCCTCTGATTCTTCTTTGTGTAATAGTGAAAGTTCTCTGAACTGGTCTGAATTGTTTATTATAGGGCTAATGGGCAGTACTTCATGCGTCATGCATGTACCTGATTTTAAGAACCTATGTAAGTAGTTTATGGGCACAGTACACAGTGAGTGCATGGTGTAAGTATATTATGTGCACAATGTAAGCATCTTGTGCGCACCATTTTATTAATGCATGTACATGACTGAATGAAATATGCTACTTTTTAACATGAAATATATTGTATATTAAAAATTTCAATAAAATTATAAACAACGAATACTTTTATACGTGAGACAGAATAACTTGAGTTAGCTCTATTCAGTATTTAAAAAGGGTATTTCAAGTGATCACATGGAACAACAACATAGAGTAAAGGCAAAAACAGAGTGATTTTATAATAGTTTTTACTTAAATACAGACATACACAAATACCAAAACACATTATACTGGAATATTTTGTAAACAGAGCTGCCATCAGAAATCTCAGGCCCCCTTACCTACATACACACTCCTTGCCACACACAGATATACAAACATAAACTTTCAAACACACATTCTTGCATAATACATACACATACATTGTCAAACTGGCATACAGCCAGACACACACACAGCCATACATACACACTCACAATAGATAGATATGCAATGTTAAATTGACACAGAGTCAGACATACATACTCACAAACAATGGATACACATACAATGTCAAACTGACATGCATCCAGACACACACAGTCAGACATACACACACACATACACAATATATAGACATTGACATACAGGCAGACACATACACACACACAGCCAGATATACATACTCACACACAAGAGATACATATTGACTGTTAAACTGACATACAGCCAGAGACACAATCACGTAGCCCCAACCTTTTCACTCCACAGCAACTAGCACTATGTATGCCCTGCCACTACCCTTTAATTCCCCCAGGCAGTTTTACCTTAGTTGCCATGTATTCCAGCTTGCACAACAGCACAGTGTAAGAGACAGAGAGCGGCAATATGACATTAAAAAACAAAAAAGGTGCACCTTTCCTTCAAAATTAGTGACAAAATTAAATATTTTAAAAAGTGTTAAAAATCTTCAAAAAGTGTTAAAAATCCTCACAATGAACAAGTGTGCTCAATATACAAAAATCATTACAGTACTAATATTACTGTGCACTAGCCTTCACAAGTGTAATAAAGTACAATATTTAGTGTAAAGTGTATCACACTTTACCTACATTCCAGTTTAGCAGCATAACAGCTTGTTGAATATTCCACTAATGACACTCTTATATAAAGTATAAGTGTATAAGTATACACTGGTATATAATGTTGAAGGGACATACGTCCATTTGAGACAACTGTCTAATTCAATCTTTTAAACTTCAATAGTTGCCTCAATGTGCAGGCTGAAACAAGCATGTAAATATGTTGTTTTTTCCCATTTAACTGCTTCTGCTTTCTTGTGTTTTCCACGCTCACTCCGGGGGAGACACTGGTCTAACCAATCAGAGTCCTATCCCTAGGAATGCTGGAAAAGTGCAGTGGGCATGCCTGACAGATTAACACATGTGCAGTTGGAAGATCTCTTCACCTTGCAACATCCTGATAGGGGGAGAAGAGAGGGAGTCTGATCAGTGCGATAATGCAGAGCAGGTTCTGGTTACTGGATTGGTCTAAAACTAAGGTGGGTGGGTAAAAGGGAGGGGAGGTGCTGAAGAAACTCCCCTAGCTGTGTTTTAGTATTTCATACAAAAATATTAAGAAGATTTTTATTGTTCTTTTGCTAGATGTCATTGATAACAAAGATCCGGCAGAAATCCAGTTACTTTATCCAGTGGTTATATCACACTTTTACTATGTTAATGGATTTCAAGTTCGGATTCACAAGACTGAATTCCTGAAAAGCTAGATGCTGATTTTGTAAACCAGATTGTCAGTCGATATTTTTGCACACAAAGTACAACATTCTAGAATGAATCAGTGTATTTTAAGAAATTAATTCACACAGTAGAAAGGGACCACACTCAGCCTGAAATAACAGTTGGTGCACTCAGATAAGGAAATGGCAAGCTCCCCAAAGTCATCTCCAATAAATCCAAAACAGGAAAACAACAACTTCATTTCAGCAGTTAATTAGATCAGGAGCATTAAAGACAACGTTTCGGTCTCATTATGAGATACTTGTCAAGTCACTTTATCAAGACTTGACAAAGGTCTTATAGTGAGACCAAAATGTTGTCTTTAATCCTCCTGATCAAATAAAGCTGCTTTGAATATTGTGTTAAGAGACTAATCATAAATTATCATTATCCAGCTTAATAAATATGGAACACCTTACAAAGTTATTCTCTATGCAACGTATTTGTACCATTCAGACACATGCAACAATAACAAGATAGTAGAAAAGCTTAGTGAACAATTAAAAGAGCCCATAAAGGAACTAAGGACTAATTCAACCATTTCTAAGTACGCATTAATAATATTTTTTAATAATAAGAATAACACTCACCAATGATTCATCCTCAGATAGAAAACCTAAATCTCGCAATCCATGAAGAAATGGGAACTGCTGTGTTATAGCAAGTGAAATTGCAACCTTTTTATGTTGAAAAATAGTCCACAATATTTCACTTCTGGAGTTATCCTCTTCAGGCATCCAATTTATTTTGTATTCTGTTTAGATATCGGGAGAGAAATAATTTCACATTTATTATCTCTATCAGTTTTTTGTTTTTTTTCAAAAATCACAAATGACACATAAAAGTGATATTGGACATAGGGAAAATACCCCTCTTCCCCAATAAAGAACTGACCACATGTTAAAAAAGAAAAATCATTATTATAACATTTCCTTGGGTGCTGGTGATAGACTGATAGCATCAGGTATGTAACGTTCTAAAGCATTCTTCTCAATAGTAAGCCAGAAGTAGACTGAGAGTATCAGCTGATTCTCTCAATCTGTCACCACTGCCCAGGGAAACTTACCTAGTTACATAGTTGTCTAGGTGGAAAAAAGACTAAAGTCTATCAAGTTCAACCACTAAAAAAATATTTTCTTCCTTAATGGTTCCCTTGCCAGTGTGGAGGCAAAGAGGCTGAGCTGAGGGGCACGACAACTTAAGGGTCAAACCAAAAGCAAACTGGGTTTGTAATGGAAAGGTAGGGTATAGACAATACCCACAAGATGTCCTTGGTGCTGGAGACACTACATGGACCTGGCCAAGGCGGTCTATTACTGGTATTAGATGCAAAAAAAGGAGTTTGGCCGCCTTCGATGAGATTTCCTGACACAGGTCTTGTAGTCATATGGCTTCCTTCCATTTTCGCACTCCACTCAGACCCCATGGCACGAGTGTTGCAAACTTGTTTTCTCTCCGTACCATTCAACATCTCAAATGATACAAGACAGTGGTGCCCACTCTCCCCCCTCTTTTATGTTCTGGCCTAGAATTTCTTCTACATTCAATCAGAGAACATCCAGAGATACACGGTGTACATATTGGTGATGCTGAAGTTAAAATAAGTACATTTGCAGGCAATATCCTTTACTATATCACTAATCCATTGTACTCCCTTCCAATCCTTTTGTAACCAATCCAGAAATACGAATTAGTGTCTTACTATCTACTAACTAGCAAAACACAAGCCATGGGTGTTGGGATCACTTCCACAGTCTTAAGTTCCCTATGACAAACATACTAATTTGAATGGAGGTCAAATCATCTTAAATACTTAGGTTTAACAGTTACGAAAAACCCAGCGGAACTCTATTCTGCAAATTATGTTAAAGTATGGATGGACTGCAGTCAACTCTTAAAGACATGGTTGCCTATGTTTCTCTCCTGGACAGAATAGTAGCACTAAAAATGTCTAAACACCCCAGGATGCACTACTTGCACACTTCTTCTATTGTTACCACCCTCATTTTTTAAAGCTGCGCATAGAGACATAAATAGATATGTATGGACAGGAGGAAGACCCAGAGTAGCAAGGAAAATACTACAGGTACCAATAAACTCTGGGTGGTTTGCCATATTGGCAAACATATTACTAGGCTACGGTCCTTTACCACATTTCCTTAACAAACCCTTTCCCCAGTGGGTAGCACTGTAAAGACATTTACTGAGACCTTACGATCTCCCGCATTTATTATGGCTTCCTAAACATCTCTATCCACCTATTGTAATAAAACCCCTACAGATTAAACTACTAATCAACGTGTCATATAAACACAGAGATACAGTCTATCAATAGGAACACCGATCGGAGCCTTAACATACAGCATTCCTACATGTCAAACTAATTAATGGAACACAAGTGGGGCTTCCTATCTTTACCACCTCTTCTATTTGAAAAAATTACTAGACTTCAATACATTGATTTCCACCTATAACCTATGTCCCACTACTCCTACTTACAATTAGGCTCCTTTTTGACAGCATCATATAAACAAACCGAGACATCAGATGTCACAACTTGGGAACGCATCGGTTTTACTAGTAAATTACCTCCTTTATATAAACCGATTTCCGTGTGTTACTCCAAGCTACTACATTATGAGCCTTTTCCCGACTCTAACTTAGCCCAAAAGTGGGAAACAGACCTATAATGTAGGAAACAATGGAATACATGGTTAAAGTTCCTACAAGACTAATTAATTCAGCAGCAAACTTGGAACAGCACAACAAGATTTTATATCACTGGTACATTGTACAGTGCTGCGGAATCTGTTGGCGCTTTATAAATACCAGTAATAATAATAATAATAATAATGGTGCCAACTAGGTTGCACACATTTCTTCCTCATGCATCTCCATTGTGTTGGAGTTGCAATACCAATGAAGGCAATATGTTACACATCTGGTGGCACTGCACTGTATTAGTCCCATTTTGGAAGGCTGTACATGCACTAATATTGGATGTGAACGGCGCCTTGTTGCAATTTGACCCCATCATATACCTACTGCTAAACCTATCCCAAACAATTCTCCTGAGCCACCAAAAACTGATACTTCATATAATTCTAACGGCGCAGCGTCTAATTGTGCATTTCTGGAAATATAGTCCTGAAAATCCCAGACTTAATCTCGGAAATTGACAAGCAGAGAATATATGAAAAATGTTATACCGCAATTTTTATTCCCTTAAAACTATTTTTTGGAGATGCACTTGCTATGGAACACATGGAGATCGGGCACCTAATAGCCTAATGTTCTTGTAATAATCTCATGACAGACACTAAGAAAGTGGATGGAGTACTATGTATTCTAAATTGCCTCTTGATTGAAAATGTATCAAGCTTCATTACAATGCAAATGTCAATATTTGAACAAGGTGTTATCCCAGATATATTCCAAAACAGGATTCTGTAATTAATTTGTTGTTGTGATGTGCTTCATGGAAACAGTTGTGACATATATGGCTGCATTGTCAATTACATTTGCAGTACGATCTAATAGTACCGCTACCGTCCGGAATTAGCTTCACTTGGAGTAATGCCTAGGTGTTTTTGAAATGGTACATGACAATACTCATGAAACTGGAAGGCGAGACTGGCAGATGAGAAACAACTACCTATTTATAAGCAACAGTTTGTGTATTTCAGTGCAGTAACGACAATGTTATTACTTTTTAATTTAAACAAGCCCATGCTTGGGTCATGATGCACAATATTGTACTTCCACCCTACTCCCTTAACAACTTTTTCCTTCTGTATTCCCCCCTACCTTCATTCTTATCAAAATAAAAGGCAGCCAGCGTCGGTGAGTATGGAGTGCTGAATTTTCAGTTCCTCACTCCTCCCTCGAGCACCCTCTGTGATGCTGAGAGCCAGAATATGGTGTCATTCCGGTCTTGTGGGAGGAGTAAGGAAGATTACAAGATAACAGCCCCACACAGGACCCTAGCAAGAGGTAGGGAGGCTGGATAGGCCTCAAGAAATAAAATAAATTTTTTGAGAGTGTGCAAGAATGTATGAGTGTGTCTCTCAGTGAGTATGTCTGTCAGTGAGTGTTTGTCTGTCAGTGAGTGTGTCTGTTGGTGATTGTGTGTGTGTGTGTGTCTGTAAGTGAGTGTGTGTGTGTGTCTGTCGGTCACGAGTGTGTGTGTATGTCTGTTTTTGCTGTTGATCCAATAGAAGGAAAAAAAATCTAGTTTGAAGCACTTGCAATTTTGCAACAAACAAGGAAAATAATCCTTCTCGACTTCATGGGCGACATAGGTGGCAAATGCAGGACCGCTGGATCTTCCTCAGCTGATAATGTCAGTACTATATCTCCATGGGGCACCACCAAAGTTCCTGATACTCCCCACCGTTAACTGACACTTTGTTCCCTCAGCATTCTGGTAACTGGCATGAATCTTTGTCTGTCTAACAGGACCGAGAACGGCAGATCATCAAAGATCCTGATGGTACAGTCCTCAACCTTGACAGTGGGGTGGTTCCTGGAGTGAGCCAGGGTGGTCATATCCCTGGATGCATCCACATGGGCGGTCAGGGCCTTCAGAATATGGAATTCTGAAGCTATTGGCAAAGCTCTGTGGTCTCCTTTCACCACTGTAGCAGACTTGGTCCTCTCTTCATTCGGTACATTACTTACCTGTACCACCCTTGTTTGTTTCCCGAATGTAAACTTGTTTCCCCTTTATATACCTACTGAACACCGACCACCCCCTGGCTAATTAACTTCAAAAGAACCCATTAACTCAAGTGCTCTCTTGGGGCACTTGCTGCCATTTGTATGACCGAATGCACGTGCTTTATGGAATTTGTGGCCATTTTGTATCCCAAACGTAGGCAGCAGTACCTGGTGGTCGAACGCCTGAAATAATTTCAGATACCATAGCTCGCAAACCCCAAGGAAACTGTACTGCTGCCTGCTCCACTCACAGACAAGCCAGGAGAGAGCTTTTCGGGGAAAATACTTGTTCGCATTCGCTCCCGAATAACCAGCGGGAGCATTCGTTTGTGTTCGTACAGGAACTCCCGAGTTTATCAGCCGCTGCCTCTTTCTCCCAACCTGGAACTATTTTGGGCTACCGCCTCATGGCCAAATGGCGATCTCCTGTGAATGGATCTGAGCGCTATTTGAAAACTTGGGCGCTCAGATCCGGACTATTCGGGGGTATAAGATATGTTCGGTTCCTGTGTAGTTTGAATGTGGTTTTGGGGTGTTTTGTATATTTTATGAATGGTTCCCTGTGACTGAGAGATAATAGAGTTACCCGTCTTTGACGCAATTATCTCCCAGACACATTGACGCCTACAAATCAGTTGTACTCCCAGAACTGTGTGTCGTCCAGTTACTTGGGAGGGATAGAGCTATTTACTTTGCAGCGCCTTGTTCCAGAGTTCCAGTTCCTACAGATTCAGAAGAGAAAAGTCCTTGTCAGGACTAAAGCTCTGCTACAACCACCAATACTCCAGCCACTTTGCTTGAAAATTCCAGTAGGGCCTCTGGGCCCACCGTCTCCGGCACCCTTCGTATCATGAAGTTTCATGATGTTGATCTCCAATCGCATGAATGTTAGCCCTAACATTGCAGGCGTATTAAGCAAATTCTGCCTGCAGGGAAGTTTGAAGCTCTTAGCTCTTCAAGCATTTTTTGTATTGATGATTCTGTTGCTGGAGCTGGGGTAAGCACAGAAATGGATGACATTGCTGTTGTCTGAGCAGGATGTTGGCAATATTGGCCAGTCTGCGCTATCTTGGGCCATGCAGCAAGGTCAAAGCCGAAACCTACAGAGAAGAAGGTTTCTGTTTGCTTATTGGCTGGAATGGTTTGTCATAGTAAGTTGTAAGTTGTGCTGGTGTGTGTCAGGATTACTGTTTGATCCAGCACGTAGAACTGTATAGCACGGATGACAAATAAGTAACGTATTACCGGTTCTTAGAACGGCCGGATTTAACGTACATAGAATAGTTAAAAAATACTAGCCAAGGTCAGGTAACACAGAAAGGGACACAGCGATGAGGAAAGCCAGGAGTCAGGATACCAGAATATAGAGACGTCAATAAACAACGCCAAAGTAAAAAAACAGGTAGAAAACTGTAAACAGGAACACGCTCTCAGACAACCACAAGGGAAGCCACGACAGGGCACTGAGCAGGATGAGAACTACCCCTCCTCTAGATCTGATAGGCTGTAACCGGCCTTTGACCCCAAAGTCAGTTACCAGGTTTCATTTGCATAATTGCTGCTCAGCATTAACCCTTCTGTGGATTAGGTTGCTGCTCGGCACAACTTTTCCTGTGTGGATAGTAAATGTCATTAACCACATTTTTATAAGCGGATGAAAACGTGACCGTGTGCTGGTATGCTGGTAGATAGTGCTCTGCAAATCAC